CCCCACAACTCCAAGCAAAGGTATCCCCCCCTCCCCTTTTTGGCATAAGAGCTTTCGTTCCTTTGGAATTGGAAGAGATGATGGTTTCCCTGAAATGTCCAAAGCCACATCCCTGCTGCTCGCTTTAGCTGAATCCAGGCTTGGCATCGTCGTAAAACAGAGCAGACACCGACTCCCTCTGCAGAGAACCCTCGTCAACCCTGCTGGCTGGGACGGCTAGGGATTCTTGGGCGGGGGGGGGGAGAGCAGGGGGGGCTTTGAAACACGGACGTCTGCAGGGAAGGGGTCGAAAAAGTCAAGATGGCGACTGCGCGAGGGAAGCCTCTTTGGTAATGCGCTCCGGACGAAGAGAAGCACGCCTCGATTGGCACGCTCAACGATGCCATCTGAGCGCCCCCCCCCCCCATGGGCACGAGAGGGCTGGCTCCTTTGCCCCCAGAGGAAAAGGAAGAGGGCCTGGCGATCCTGGGTTCAAGGCACACGGGACCTCCTGCCAAAGAGGAGACGCTGGGGGAGGCGTTTTTGCACGGAAATTGTTTTTCCTTTGGCTCGGCCTCAGGATGCCTTTGCTGCAGTGCGCGTCAGCTGTGAAAGCGGGGGGAGTTAAAAAAGGGGAGGGGGAAACACAGGGCAAGCGAGGGAAGCCACCAAAGACAGAAGGGAGAAGGTCCAGGCGGAGAGACACAGCCGGGGAGGGGAGACGGGGGGGGGGTCTCATCAGAGTGGACCTCTGGACTTGACTAGAAGGCAGCTTGGCGGAGGGGAGGCCTTGCTGAAGAGGGGGCCAGAGGCACCCAAAGCCTGGGCTAGGGTCAGGGGGGGGGGGGCTGTGGACTGGATCCCGGACTGTCCCCCTTTGCTGAGCCCTCGGGTGGCGGAGGGCGGACGCTGGGAGAGCGGAGCCTTCGGGGCAAGGAGGGTCAAAACGGAGCGTGGTACGGCCTGGGCCCGGGTCTGGGGGTCTCTGAGATGGGGTTTAAAAGAGGAGGAGCTGCAGCTTCATCTTCAGGGCTTGGCCCATCTCTCCAGCCGCCCGGCCGAGTTCCTTGCCAGCCTCCAGTTTCGGCAGTTCTCGCACGCGGGAGAGGGGTACGCTGACGATCTCCAGGAGGTAGGTCCCGGGGGTGGCCGGCTTGCGGCCCACGTGCAGGTAGCTGAGACCCTCTTTCTGTTGGATGTGGAAGTGGCCGTCCTGGTTGCCGTGGGCGATGACGTAGCGGATGTGGTTCTCCAGGGACTCCACGGCGGGAAGGAGATCCAGGATGTGGGACTTCCGGCCCAGGTCCGAGAGGTTCAAGGAGAAGACCAGAGGCGCCTCCACATCGATGCTGGCCAAGCTGAGGCCCAGATCCTGCTGAAGGCAAAAAAGGGACTCAGATGGTCAAGTGGTCAAGGGTTGCTTTGTTTTTTAGCAGGGACGAAGGGCTAGTGGGGGTGGGAAGTGAGGAGTGGGGTATCCCAAGGCTCCATCTTGGGCCCAGGACGCTTCAACGTCTTCATAAAGGACTCAGGTGAGGGAATAGAAGAGGAACCCCTCAAATGTTCAGATGATACTTAACAGATTAACAGAGATGGAAGGGACCTTGTAGGTCATCTAGTCCAGCCCCCCTGCTCAAGCAGGGGATCCTACACCATTTCTGACAGATGGCAGTCCAGTCTCCTCTTGAAAGCCTCCAAGGATGAAGCTCCCACAACTTCTGTCTGTCTATCTATCATCTATCTAACCTATCGACCTACCTATCTACGTAATCATCTATAACTAACAGATTAATAGAGTTGGAAAGGATCTTAGAGGTCATCTAGTCCAACCCCTGCCCAAGCAGGAGACCTTACACTGTTCCTGACAGAGGACAGCCCAGCCTCTTCTTGAAAGCCTCCACTGATGAAGCTCCCACAACTTCCGAAGGGAACTTTTGTTCCATGGGTTGATTGTTCTCACCTTCAGGAAATCCCTCTTTATTTCCAGGTTGAATCTCTCCTTGGTCAGTTTCCATCCATTCTTCCTTCTCTGGCCTTCAGGTGCCTTGGAGAAGAGCTTGACCCCCTAACTCCTCTCTGTGGCAGCCCCTCAAATATTGGAAGATGCTCTCCTGTCTCCCCTGGTCCTTCTCTTCACTGGACTAGCCAGGCCCAGTTCCTGCAACCGTTCATCGTATGTTTTAGCCTCCAGTCCCCT